CAGGAAAGCCTGCACTTGGGCTTTAACTTAAGATAGAACATAAGTAACTTAATTCTACCTAACTAAAATTTAGCCGAAGCTGTACAGAAATAACTAACCGAATTGATCCTTATTTAAACCTCAACGAATACACGTACGACTACAGGCGAACGTAGTAAGATAGTCTTAAAGCAATGACGTGGCTAAACACGCTCTACTGAGAACTTCTGAGCTCTTCTATGGAAGTGATTGAACTTTCTATTAAATACTGGTTCTACGTCGTTTACATGAAATACGACACTGTAAACGCGTTTTGGAAAGGAATTATAGATGAAAAATAAGATAATAAAGGAAAAGGTTTCAAAATAAAAAATAACTATTCGAAAATTAAAATAATCCCCACAGCAAACTCAGCCAATTAAAAATCATCATTTCAAATCTAAATTCAAAACGTTAGCAAATTCACTTTTTGCCAGCTCCTCTTAGATATAGTCGACTACTTTCTATCGCCTAAAATCAAAAATTCACTGTTTTATGAGGGTCTAGGACATGTAGCCATTTGGCCGCCGCCATTTCGTCATCAGAACAGTCAGCCGGCATTTGATTCGTTGCGGGCCATTTCGCCGTTCAGCAGAACTGAAATACGTAATAAAGGTTGCTTATAATATACGTAATTGCTTACAAATATGGATATAAAGAAATTACACATAGGTAGTTAGAAAATTATGTCAGTATCAAATAGAACAAAATTATCCCGTTTCATGATTGTTGGCTAAATATCTGAACTAACTTAAGTTATATTATCGTTTCTAAAATTATGCTAATGCAATTTTTACACGATTTATCAAAATTTCTTGAAATTTTTATCAGCCAGTTTAGAGTAATCCCTCACGGAAAATTTACATTTTTATGAAACCTTAATCGAAAATTGTATTATTTTAGAATTTTGTTCACACATTACTCTTTTAAAATTAATAAATATATATATCGATATACTAATAAACTTTTATGTCATGCGTAACGGTATATTTGTATAAAATTGTATGCAAAAACATTTTATATATTATGCGTACAATACAGACACGTAAAGAAAAATACGTCTCGACTATAAACTATGTAAACAAAATTACTAAACAAAATAAACTTAATATGATATGGCAAGATATAATATAAGCTTTTAAAATAAAAATATGTTTTAACTGCGAATCAGTCTGATGGCGGAAGAGTATGAAGGAAAATAGTCCCATGTTATTTGATGAGATGTTATTACGATGATGTATCCATTATTCTGCAAGCTTTAAAATGGATTTCAAACAACATTTCATTAAATAATTGTAAGGAAGTTAGATGTATACATTTTGTCGTCGTAAAAATCAGCAATTAGATTATAGATTATACTATTTTCATATATCCTGTTATTCACTGTATTTATTCAGCATCATAACATGCATTTATCACTTCAAGTTAACAATTTGGGTAAAATTTAATACGAATCACCAAGTTAAATATCAAAGGACTCTTGAGCAATGAACCCAGAAATTCCAAATTTTGATTTCAGAATTTTTTTTATTTACTTCCTTCATCTGATTTTTACAATAATTATTTTCCTAGTTAAGAACTCTGTGTCAGCGTTGTGCGCATCATAATTTTTAGCAAGTTACATTAAGGTTTCATATTATTTGCAAAATATTACGTGGACACTTGTCATTGAAAAAAAAAACTAAAATACTATTCTTATTTTTAATACTTTAATACAGGGTTTCTTATTTTTTTTGGCGAGACCCCTTTTTATCACTGACATTTTTTTCGCGACACCAGAACACCATAATATTTACGGAAATTTTGTGGAACTTTGTAATATTTACGTAAATTTCGTGGGACCCCATAAGCATTGCGCAAATCCGACACACGCGTGAGTGAAGCTGTAAATTTTTTCACTTGTACTGTAATATAACATTGCAGTTTTAGGTCATTAACTCTAATTTCTAATTCTAAGAATATTTTAAATAACATACGAAATGACAGGATCATGTGCAAAGCAACTAAAATGAACGTTTATATTATAAAAAGAAAGTGTGAAAGCGTTTTCGTTTTTTTTGGGGGGTCTGTATTGCCTTATCTATTTTCAGGCACATTTTGTAAAACTATTGCGTAATTGTAAAATTATTATAATAAGTTAAAGAAATATCAAAACGGCTAAAAGTTTTGGCGAACCCTGCTGCAGGTGAGGAGTCACGACCCACAGTTTAAGAAACTCTGTTTTAATAGTTAGTCCCTGATACGCTAAGGACTCGAATAACAAATCTAACATCAAGAACTAAAATATGTTTACTCTAAGTCATCTTTTTCATATTGGTTTTGACCTCTCTCATTTACGAAAACTTTGCTTGTAAATGTAAACATTGGATCAGTCCGTGCCACACTCTCTTTTTTTTTTCTCTTCACCTTTCTGAATCATATTAAGAAGACATTGATCAAGGGCCCCCAGTCACTGATGGTACTGCTAATGCTGGAAATAACAACTTAGGTAACAGTAAATACTAATTAAAGCAAGCTATAACTAAAGTAGGCAACTCATGCCTTAAAGCTCATTCACCTCATAATACACTGGTGTGCAAAAATTAAGGACGAAATCGAAAAATTAGCATATCAGCTGAACGAAGAGGCAGAGCGGACAGAAAGACCAATCAGGAGATTAAGTAAGGTGATGTACGGTAGCACATGCGCAGATATGCAGGTAGACGTAATGGGGGAGTGTCTGAGTAGTATAAAGCATGTTGTCGGTGTAAGATCAGTATTTCTGGCAAAGAGATTGCACGCCATATAGCAGTTAAAATCACACCGAGTTGCTACCTCAGCGAGAAATGGCGAATAATCAATCTGTTAGACGACATCTGGATGCTTATACCCGAGGTCGAATCATTGGGAAGTTGGAGGAAGGCCGCAGTGTGACAAGCGTGGCTGCAGAGTTCGGAATTGCTCACAGCATCGTTTCACGACTTTGGACACAATTTCAAACTACAGGAACAGCTATCCGGGGGTTTAGTAGTGGTCGTCCACGAGGAACCACACCCACAGACGACCGGTATATTGCCTTACAGGCCAGAAGAAACAGGCGGCACACAGCGGGAGAAATCGCTAGACGCACGACACAGGCGACTGGACGACCGATATCGCGTTTTACCGTGGCCAGAAGCCTGCACGGTGGTGGTCTGTTTGCACGATGCCCTGTACGGTGTGTACCTCTAACGCTTGCCTATCGGGGAAGGCGTTCTCTGTGGTGCCGGGAACACCGGATTGGAGAGACAATGAATGGGGACGAGTACTCTTTACAGATGAGAGCAGATTCAGTCTGAGTAGCGATTCTCATCGCATACTCATCTGGAGAGAGCATCATCCTCGAACATCATAAGGAACATCATAAGGAAAGGGACAGGTATGGAGGTGGCGGTGTTCTCGTTTGGGGAGGCATCATGCTTGGTAGTCGTACAGACCTTCACATCTTCGACCCAGGTTCAGTCAACGGGACCCGTTATTGTAACGAGATTCTTCTTCCATATGTGCGTCTTTCTAGAGGCACTATTGGTCCGCAGCTCCTTTTCATGGACGACAATGCACCATGTCATCGCACAGTAGCTGCCGAACAGCTCTTAGAGAGTGAGGATATTGAACGTATGGATTGGCCGGCACGATCTCCGGATCTCAATCCCATCGAGCATGTATGGGATTTTCTAGGCAGACGCTTGGCAGCTCGTACCTTACCACCAGTAACGATTCCGGAGCTTCGATTGGCGCTGCAAGACGAATGGGCAGCAATGCCTCAACAACTCATTGACACCCTCATTCTCAGCATGGGCAGACGCTGTGAAACCTGCCTAGCAGTCAGGGGAGATCACATCCCCTATTAAAGACCGGATGTTTCTTGCTGGACACCCATCACAGGGATGTTTCGGCCTTCAGTCGCATTGCGCTCCATGCTACTTTTTCAATAAAGCTTCTTTTTATCCCTCTGATTTCTCTTTTAGTAAGTGTTGCTTACATTACTCATGTCCTTACGTATTGGAGATGTTACGGTATTAAATGTGTTGATTTGGAAAGCTTCTGTACAAAGTTATATTGAAAAAACCGTCTCGTCCTTAATTTTTGTACACCAGAGTATCTAAAACTTATAATCAAAACAGTTCGCAGAATGCGAATCTTAAAATTAAATCGTAATAATAAGATTTAAAGCATTATGTTGATTGTATTATTGGAATCGTAAAATTCACAGTTTTAAAATATAAAAATTACATCTTGCCTGTTTTCCAAAATAACAGTTTTAAAACTTAGAATTTCGTTTCAAATTACTTGCAAATCGTTGGCGTCCTCAGCTTCAAGACAAAGAATAATTAAATTAAAAGTTTTGATATTTTTCGGTGTTTTCAATTACTGATTCAGTACGTGTGTTTGGAGTTCGTATAAGCTAATAAACATGGTGGAAGAGGGGAAAAAATTAGCGAAAAATTTTGAATCTTTCTTACAACTTCAAGAAGTACCAAATTTAACAAGTGAAGATATCCGGAGCAAATACTGGTACCTTATCCAATTTATATCACAAGCACAAGTAGTATAGTAAACATATTTATGGCAACACGTAAATATACTGTAAACGTAAACATTGGCCAGCTGAGTGCATCCACGCCATATATTTTTCTCTTTTCGACTTTTTTAATATAAAAAACTTGCCTTTTCTTCTATCACGCCTTTCTAATGCTTATTAGTTATTCTTTTCCATTTAAAATTTTGTAAACTGGTATTAGAGTATTCTCTCCATGAAATTCAAGCATCCATTTAATTTGGGAATTGAGTTCGATTAAATATACTTCCAGGCTTTCTAAATTTTCAGTTGTAATGTACGTCGTATAGATACATACTAGTCATTTCTTTATATTAATATTTGTAATCAGCTTAAAATTTATGCTAATCTTACCTGACATGTAGTATATCTATCAAAATTTCATATAAAATACATTATTTTGCAGAGTTTTTATCAGATTTGGCAAAGGGTCGACGCTACTTGGTTAGTGCTTTTCATAAAGACAATGACAGAATGCTTAGAGAAAGCTACGCAAAAACATCTAAACAACTTACAAAGATGAGAACAACAGAAAGGAAAACCCCTCGGGTTTCATTTTTAGGTCTTTCTAGTAGTAAGATGAGAAAGCTGATCTCAGAAGGTAAAAAAATAGAGAAGGCAACTTGTAACAGAAACTTGCAAAAAGAACAGAAGTTGAGTTCAACTGTCTCAAAGCCTAAGAAAACAGAAAAGATAAATACTTTTCCTCACAGGCAGACAAAAAAGGATACTAAAGATACCCACATGGGAGGAGACGAGTTTAAGAAGGAAAAGGAGGCAGATAGTGTTAAAGATATTAAAAGTACACGCAAAATTCCCGCTTTTCGAACAAATGAAACGCGGAGTGTTATAGGAAAAAAACGTCATGATGAACAAATTCGTACAAATGCCCTAAAGGGTAAGTCGAAGAAAACAGCAAAACATGAAGAAGTGCTAAAAACAAAATTTCCAGGAAACCTTGTTCCAGGTAAAGCAGACATCCAAGGATCAGTGGGTATTAAACACGATTCTAACATTGTGAAGACAGCTAAATCAGGTAAACCGTCACCAGATAAAAAGGAATTGGTGCACAGACCAGTTGAAAGGAAATATCATTCTAATGTTGCAAAAGCTGAATACACAGTTGGGCAAAAGGAAACTAATTTGGAAGATAAAAGAGATGCTGACAGAACTGTTATATCATCAAGCAAAGAAGAATGTGAAGAAAAGAAACTTATGGAAATGGACAAAGTACAGGACGAAACAGGCGAAAAATGTCTCGCAAGCAAATTAGAAAAGCAACCAAGTAGCGAATTGTATGAAAATAAGTTCGCAATTCCTAGCTCATTTCAGGTGGCAGAAACAAATCAAAAAGAATTAAATGAACTAAGTGAGCCGATTATGGATTATCCGACTCCACACGAATCAGATGAAGAAAGCATTGAAAATTTTAACTATCCAGAACAGACCTTGATTGAAAACAATGTATCAGGAAAAGATGAGGACAGCCAAACAGCTGATGAAATAAGCGAGCATGAAGTTTCTGAAGATGTTAGTGAACACGAATCAGCTGTAGACCTAACAGAAAGCAAAATAACCGAAGATATAAGCGAGCGCAAAGCAGCTGAAGACTTTAGCAAGCACCAAATAACTCAAAATACCATCAACGATTACGGAGCTGAAAATATCAGCGAGCCTGAAGCAGCTGATAACACAAGCGAAGAAGATGAAATGATTGAAGATATAAGCGGAAATGAAGTATCTGAAGGCATAAGCGAAGATTATAAAAATACAGAAGGGAACGTAGTTTTGAGAACTCTTTCAGAACCAGGCAGTACTGATGAATCGACTGATAAAAACCAAGCACCTAAAAGCATAGCAAGAGAAAATAATGTTGAGATGAAGCAAGTTTTATTCAAGGAGAACAAATCAGACGGAAAGGAGGCATGCATGGTTGACGAAGTAACTGATAATAGTCATACAACTGATGAAAGTACAGAAACTGGAGAAATCAGTAAAGATGTTATTGATGACAGTTATGACGAAAGGTCTACAAAGGAAAGGAAAAATTCCAACGGCACGAGAGATGATCAAACAACAAATACTGAAGAAAATGCTGTGAATGTGAAAAGTGAAGATAGTGTAGATAACGAAAACGTTTCAGCTAGGGAAAAACCTTCTCAAGAATATGAGGACAATGAGCTATCTGAAGAAAGCAAAAAAAAATTTTCTGACGCTACGGAAATAAGAGATACCAATGGTACTGAAAAGCCTCTGATTACTGAAACTACTACTCAACATAGAAAAGAGCAGATAGTTGACGCAATAGAACCATCACAGAATTTCAGAAGTGAAAAGAATAATGTTGAAGAGGATTATGGAATTGATAAAATATATTTTGAAAGTGATAAGGGAGAACAATTATTTAACTCATACGAAACGTCTAAAACTGTAGAACCAGAGTTAGCTGCAAACGAAATACCAACCGAAAGGCAAGTTCCTAAAGAAGATGAAATAAATTCTGCTGATTCAAATGAAATAATAGAATTTATTAGAAAGGAAGATTTAAGTACTGTGGAATTTTCAGCAGCCAGTGATGAAGCACTAAATCAAGACAGAGATGACCAAAGTATCGGCAGCAATTGTCCTTATGATAGTAATGAAAACGAAAATTACATCGATAGGCAGGAAAATGTACCAATAAAAGGTGACAATAAAATTCAACAATCTGATGTACTTTCTCAGTTCTCTAGTGATTACGGAGATGCTGAAGAAACCTCAGTGACAGAAAGAATTTCTCCAGAAACCAGTAATACTGATTTGCGTGAACTTGAACAAGAAGAAAATGACTTTGTACAACAGAATGCAAAATATAAATTCTCTGAAGATGATACGCAGGAGTAGTATACTAATGAAAACTCATTAGTTCACTACTCTAAGTCATCTACAAGAATAGTCTCAAGACAAGAATGAAATATAAAACAAACAAACAAACAAAACAAAAAAATAAGAAGTCTGAATTGCTAATATTTCCCCAAGCCTTGACATGAAATTATATGAAAACTAACATTTTCGTTGCTATGATGATGTTAAAGGCGTCTAGCGAAAGATTTGTGGTATATAAATTCAACAATAAGCGAATTATTTCATAATTCAGTAAAGAAAACATTTAGAAATCATAATACAGGAATTTTTATAATATTAAAAAATTAAAGTAAAGCTTATAAAAATTATAATTAGTTCATATTAAAGAATTTTAATTATTTTTTCTTATAAAATTACTACTATATTAAAATTAAACTATTGCTCTTTATAAAATTATATTCTACAAAATGCAGAAATTTTCTACGAATTCAACAAGAACATTTTAATAAAAACCAAAGTTATTTGAAACTTAAGTAGATTTAAGTATTATGAGAAATTTTAGATTAAATAGGATTTACTATAACAATTTTCCTTATATTAAATATCCAATATAAATTTATAGATAAAATTTACTATTTTACGAAACTTAATTGCAAATATGTGCCAAGAAATATGACACAAAACTAAAAATGATGATTAATCCAATATTGCAAAGCCAGCAAAGGAATTTATAAAAAATATTCGCAGTTAATTAAATGTGCTTCGTCATTGCTTGTTAATAAAATAGTGCCACACATTTTCATGAAACTTAGAGTAAACAGCTAAAATATAGTAGACGCCACTGCGAAAGCACGGAATCACTTATTATGATAAAAAATTTGGAAAATGTGATTGAAACTTTTACAGAAAAATATTTAAAACACTAGCGGGTAAGCCCGCCAGCTGAGCGGGCTGAAGCCCGCTTATCATTGTTCTTTTTTAAAAGAATTCCTATGTTAAATTTGGCCGGTATTTAAAAAGTTGAACCGAACAACCAGTTTTTAGCGGTTTCGCGCTGTCTGGGTCCGCTTTATTAAAGGTTGCATAGAGAATATACTGCATACACGATACATATGCGTAAAAACACCCATGCAGAACAACCCTTTCACGGGTCTTCGAAAGTTTGACTGAACTACCAGCATTTAGCGGTTCTGCGCGGGCTGCGCCCGCTTTATTGAATTATGCTATCATTCTTCCTTTTTAAAAGAATTTGCATGTTAAAATTCGCCTACATTCGAAAGTTGGACCGAACTACCAGTGTTCAGCGGTTTTACCCGTTATCCGCGCGCTGTATATTCACGTATGCATCCAAATTTTATATACAGTCCCCCGGAATTCGAAAGTTGGACCGAAATACCAGTGTTCAGCGGTTTTGTGGAGCGGGCTGCGCCCGCTTTATACACATATGCATGGAGAGGATACTGCATAAACGATACATATGCGTTAAAGCAAGAAAACACCCGGGGAGCCAGCTCGTTCGCCGAGACCGAAAGTTGGATCGAACTACCAGCGTTAAGAGGTTTTGAGCAGGCTGCGCCCGCTTTTATCACATATGCATCCAGAAAACACTTTATACACTATACACATGCGGAAAATCACGAAAACACCCATGCAGCCAGCCGCGCAGAGATCGAATGTTTGACCTAACTACCAGTGTTCAGAGTTTTACCCGTATCCGCGCGCTGTATTCACGTATGCGTCCAATTTATGTACAGTACCCCGAATTCGAAAGTTGGACCGAACTACCAGTTCAGTAGTTTTGCGCGGGCTGCTCCCGCTTTATTCAAGTATCATCAGAAGATACCGCATACACGTTACACATGCGGAAAATCCCGAAAAACACACTGAGCCAACACGGTCGCCTGGATTCGAAAGTTGAACCGAACTACCAGTAATAGAGGGTTTTGAGCGAATTTCGCCGCTATTCACTTATGCATCAGAAGATGCTGCGTACATGAGCACATGCGTAAATCACGCAAACACCCATGGACCCAGCCCGTTCGCCGAACTACCAGAGTTCAGCTTATTCATTTATGCATCAGAAGACATGCATACACGACAGACATGCGTAAAATCACAAAAACTGAGTGTAGCCTGCCTGCTCAGCGGGAATTCGAAAGTTACCGTATATCATCTCAAAGGAGCAAAGAAAATCTTTAATCTAAAAAAAAAAAAAAGTGTGAATTAATTTTTTTGGGCGAACTTATTTAAAATATCATTTGCATTAAAAGATAATATCTAAATTAAGTGCACTATCTAAAATAATAAAAATATATTATTCCAAAAATCAAATTTATTATTAAAAAATAACAAACATATTTTAAAAAATAGCTTTTTCAGATTTTTTAATTAATATCCCAGTGATTAAAGTGTACAACTTCAAGAACGTCATCATTAAATTTAATGTAATATAATAACTTTCAATATCAAAAAAGAATTGACGTGACAATCATCCTAACCTGAAATAAAAAAATTGTAAAAAGCACTGTTTATTTAAAATGCCTACATTAAGAAATATTTTAAAAATACAGTTAGGTAACGTGCAATCGCGTGCTTTATTTAACCTCAGAATATAACTTTGATTTTTATCTGGGCCGATTCAAGAAACTGTTGCAATAGGAAAAAAGAATTTGGCACTTAGCCAGAAATTAGCGTTTTCAGTTTTTAATTAATATCTCAGCTGATTAAAGTCGTACGAAGATGAGAGTGGTATCAATGCGTTCCGAGAATTTTTTGCAATCCGGTGGTACCTGTCTCGAATTCCAACTCAGCGCCGTTCCATAGATATTTGAAAAAAAGTTAAATTGACACGTGACCTTTCACCAGCACAAATCTGGAGCGGAAGCAATTGTCCCCCCCCGGCGCTTTCGAAAAAGCAATTTTATCTCAGCTAATTCCGAGACTGCTGCCACTCCGAAAAACGAAATAACGTTTTCGCAGTTTTTAATTAATAACTCCGCCGATTATTGTCGTACGAAGATGGGACCTTTACCGTTGGATTCGTTGATTTTTTTCGAATACGGAGATATGCGTTTCGAATTCCAACTCCGCGCCGTTCCGTAGTTATTCGAGAAAAACGAATTTGGCAATCAGCCAAATCCCTAAATTGGGGAATATCCGCGAAAAAAGTGCAAAACGTAGGGAAAGTAGGGAAAAAAGCAGTTTTTAATTAATATCTCGGCTAATTAAAGTCGCACGAAGATGCCGATGGTCAATCCGGCGAGCCACGGGAATTCTGAATCCAACGGTACCTTCCGCTAAGCTCTACACCCAGCCGTTCCCGAGGAGATGAAGTTACAAACACACAAACAAACAAACAGACAGAGGCACACAGATTTTAATAGTATAGACTAGCGGCCAGCCCGCCAGCTGAGCGGGCTGAGCCCGTTATCATTGTTCGTTTTTTAAAAGATATCCTATGTTAAATTTGGCCGGTATTGAAAAGTTAACCGAACTACCATTTTTTAGCGGCATTCCCGGGCTTCCCCCGCTTTTTTCACCTATGCATCCAGAAGTTACCGCATACACTATACATATGCGGAAAATCACGAAACACCATGCTTCCAGCCCTTTCGCGGGTATTCGAAATTTGGACCGAAATACCAGTGTTCAGCGCTTTTGGGCGGGAGCCCGCCCAAAACAGTGTTCACGTGTGCATGCAAAAGATACTGCGTACACCGTACACATGCGTAATAATCACGAAAACACCCCTCCAGCCAGCCCGCTGCCGATTCGAAAGTTGGACCGAAATACAATTTTTCAGCGATTTTGCGCGTGCTGTGCCCGCTTTATTCACGTATGCATGCTGAAGATGGTGCATAAACGATACACATGCGTAAAATCACGAAAACAAACATGGAGCCTGCCTGTTCGCCGGTATTCGAAAGTTGGACCGAATTACCAGAACAGCATTAGCAGTATTCTGTGCCCGCTTTATTCACGTATGCATCCATGAGATACTTTATAAACGATACACATGCGAACAATCACGAAAACACAATGCAGCCAGCCCGCTCGCCGAGATTCGAAAGTTTGAGCGAAACTACCAGCGTTCAGCGGTTTTACCCGGTATCCGCGCGCTGTATTCACCGATGCATCCAAATTTATATACAGTACCCCGGAATTCGAAAGTAGGACCGAAATACCAGTGTTCAGCGATTTGTGGACCGGGCTGCGCCCGCTTTATACACATAAGCATGGAGAGGATACTGCATAAACGATACACATGAGTTAAAGCAAGGAAACACCCGGGGAGCCAGCTCGTTCGCCGACACCGAAAGTTGATCGAACTACCAGCGTTAAGAGGTTTTGAGCAGGCTGCGCCCACTTTTATCACATATGCATCCAGAAATCACTTTATACACTATACACATGCGGAAAATCAGGAAAAAACACCCATGCAGCCAGCCCGCTCGCAGAGATTCGAATGTTTGACCGAACTACCAGTGTTCAGCGGTTTTACCCGGTATCCGCGCGCTGTATTCACGTATGCGACCAAATTTTATGTACAGTACCCCGGCGGAATTCGAAAGTTGGACCGAACTACCAGTGTTCTGTAGTTTTGCGCGGGGCTGCTCCCGCTTTATTCAAGTATGCATGC